AGATGCCTATCAAGAAGACTATAAAAGGAGAACTCTAAATAAACTTAGAAGAAGCAAAATAGTATGTCTAACGAAGTTACTAGTTTACAAGATTATTGGTATCCATCTACAGTAGGAGAACAAAATCCAGTTTTGAGTAAATTAAAAGGAAGTGTAAGAAGACCATCTTTTAGTACTCAAATTATTCAACACTTTCCTAAATTAATTTTACTTTTCTGTGTGTATAGTTGGACTACTTTTGTATTGTCATACTTTACTACTTTTAGTCCTTTATTCACTTCAGATAATGTTTATGGTATTGTTTTAGCTGTTGCTTCATTAGTCGCTGGATTAGTTTATTTTGTTTGGTCATTTGCAAGTTATAAACCAGTTTATTTACTTGACTTTGCTGTAGCTGAATTACCAGAAGAATATGAAGTTCCAAATGAACATGTTCAAGGACCATTAACTCCTGTTTTTGAAGAGAGTAGTGTTGAATTTGTTGAACGTTTAGCTAAACGAACTGGACTTGGAAATCATACTTATTTTCCAAAAGTTTTTCATCAAGATAAAGTTATAAGACCAACCATGGAATTATCACGTGAAGAAGCATTATTAGTTATGACCAATTCTTGTGATAAATTATTTAATCAAACTGGGATAAAGCCTGAAGAGATTGATTGTGTTATCTGTAATTGTTCATTATTCTGTTGTACACCATCTCTTGCTGCTATGTTAATGAATCATTATAAAATGAAATCAACTTGTAAAAATTATTCATTAGGTGGAATGGGTTGTTCTGCTGGACTTATTTCAATTGATTTAGCTAAAGACTTTCTTCGATGTAACCCAAACAGTAATGTTTTAGTTTTTTCAACTGAAAATATTACTCATTCTTTATATTATGGAAATGAACGATCAAGACTTTTACCATATACTTTGTTTAGACTTGGAGGTGCTGCAATTATTTTGACTAATAAATGGAATTTAAGAAGTCATTCTAAATTTGAATTAACCCATTTAGTCAGAGTGAATCGTGCATTTGATGATGAAAGTTATAATGTAGTTTTTCAATCAGAAGATGCTAATGGAGAAAAAGGAATTTCTTTAGGAAAACAATTAGTCAATTGTGTGTCGAAAGCATTAACTAAAAACTTATATATTTTATTACCACAAGTTCTCACTTATAAGGAAATGGCAAAATATGGAATTGATTATATTAAACGATTAACAAATAAAGAATATGCTAAAACAGCTAAAGCATATATGCCAGATATTAGAGAAACATTCCAAGCATATTGTATTCATGCTGGAGGAAGAGGTGTTATTGATGGTATTCAAAAGAACTTTGGATTAAGTAATGAAGATTGTTTACCATCACGTTCTAGCTTATATAGGTTTGGAAATACTTCTTCTTCTTCTATTTGGTATGAATTAATGTATATTGAGCGTTGTGAAATGTTACAAAAAGGTGACAAGGTCTTACAACTTGCATTTGGTTCTGGACTAAAAGTAAATTCTGCTGTATGGAAAAAAGTAAATTAAAAAATAATTTAAAGTTGTGTTATGTAAAATTTTTTTGTTATTTTAATGTATTGTAAATAAATGTTATTCATGATTTTATTTTCATTTTCATTATAACAGTTTTCATTATTACTTAATTCTTGTTATCTGATTTATTTATTTTTATAACATTTCTATTATCTTTAATATGTATTGTAATGATTCTTTGTGAAATGGTAATAAATGATTATTATATCTCATTAGATAATATTCATATGTTATTTTTTTGTCAAATATTAATTCATTTTATATTTTATTGGATTTAAATGATTTTATTGTTTTTTTAACATATTTTTGAATAGGAGAAGAAATTAACATGAACAAATATCATGAACCAAATATAAAAATGTTATGAGTTAGAATTGAAGAGTTATATACAAATGTTACACTATTTAAAAGAATGATCAAACATTTATGAAGAATAATGAAAATATGATTAAGAATGTTGATGAAAGAAATGATATTGTCAAAGAAGTGATTAGAAAGCAAAATAGAAGAGATGAAATAAATAATAATTATAATGTTAAGAGAAATCGAAATGAATGATAAAGAATAATGTACTTGAAGAAAGAAAGAAAAATAAACAAACAGGAAACAAATATTATAAAGAAAGATAAAAGAAATATAAAGAAGAAAATAGAGATGAAGAAATAAACAATAAATAAAGAAATAAGAACAATACATACAGAAGTAATAAATAAAAGAAAATAAAAAAGAAGAATAAAAAGAGAAAATAAAATACAATAAGAAAAATGATAATAATACATGTATTAATAATAGATAAATGAAATGAATAATAATTTTAATAAACAAATAAAAGAATGAAGAAAGCATCAAAATAAAGAAATACAAAAATGAAATAATCAAATAAAAGGAATGAAATATATAAATACAAGAAAAACAATAATAGCTGGAACAAGAACAATTGAAATAACACATAATGAAAATTCAGA